CTCTGCCCCCATCCCCTGCCCCGCCTGCCCACAGGACTACTTACCACCTCCAGGGCCCGCAGATCACCCAGGCAGCCCAGCAGCGCTATGGCGGCCACACCCTCTGCCCGCGCCCTGCAGCATCAACTGCATGATGGGGTGTGAGGGCAGAGTCTTGTCTGTGCTGCCTGGCTGCCATGTCCTTGGCTGTGCTGCTCTGTGTGGGCCATGCTCGAGGGCGAGTCTCCTTCAGGGGGGCTGCTGGAGAGGAGGGGGTCATGGGAGGATGCAAGGCTGGGGCAATGGCACATGTGCCCACAGAGAGGGATCTGAGTGCCACCTATGGCACCCGTGCCATAGGTTCACCACCACTGGCCTAGATTATACCTTGGGCATCCTCAAAATATCCAACAATTATTCAGTTATAATTTCCTTATTTTTCTCTATGTTCAAAAAAAATTCATTAAATAGATTTTATTTTCTTGCAATTAATTTCATGCTTTTTACCATCCATTTTTAGATTGCTTGAATGAAATAGGTTCTATTTTATGGAATATTAATTATTAACATATGCTTTATAATATTTATTTGAGTTACCCTATTAACATGAAAACAATAAACTGTACTTTTGATTAATTACAAAAATGCTGGTTGTAAGAAATATGAAGTTTCTAATTCTCTTGGCATAAAGCAGAATTCAAATAATGCAACCAAACAGACATTTTTATTTCCCAGGTGAGATTCTTCAAAATAATAGCAGTATTAGAATTAGTCCTGTCTGCTAAGCAACTATGTCTAGCAGGATCCAGGAGATGGGCATTTTCTTCCATATCTCCTGTCCTGTAGAACAGGGGTGTCAAACTGCTGGCCTGCAGGCCGGACATGTCACAAGGAAACTGCACCCACTGCTGGCAATGGGGAAAAAGCTCTGATACGTTGTACGACCTCATATGACATCGTGAGTTTGACATGTCTGCTGTAGAACATCATTCCCTCTCTCCCCTCCCCCTTGATCTGAGACTAGCCCCATCCTTGATATCCTTCCAGAAGTCTCTAAAAACCTGAGGTAATGGTATATGGAAATGATCTTGAGGGATGAGAGGAAGAGATGTTGCCTAGGGAACAATCAGACAAGATGAGAAGCCCTCAGTAAGTTAATGATCAGAGAAAAGAAACTTAAGAAAGACCCACCCTAATTGACCAGACTGGTAAAAGAGAAGGTGGGAGATTTGTTTTTTCAAACTTGCAAGATTTATGTCAGCTCTCCCAGGTAAACCTGATAGACAACGCAGTCCAGGTGAGCTATTCTACTTTATTATAAAGCTGTACTGCATTACCTATCAGGTCCCAAGAACCAAGGAAGACATGTAGAATTACTCTGAGCAGTTTCTTTTATTGTTTCTCACCTGTAGACAGAAATCTTGCCACACAAAAGGAACTACTTGCATCATGAAAGATGTACTCTGATAATTGTTTGGGAAGAGCTATCTTAACTCTCTTCTCCCAATCAAACTATCCAAACTTTGTTGTTTTTTGGTTCTCTGCCATGCAAAGCCTCCCTCCTGGAATCCAGACTACATTCCACTTCATTAACAGAATCATGCAAGTCTGAAAGTACAAATCTCCCACCTTCTTTTTAGGCCTGGTCAGTTAGAGTGGGTATTTCCTAAGTTTTTTTCTCTGACTATTAAGCAATCATTAAGATCCCTCTTTTTTCGTGATTGTTCCCTATGCAGGATCTCTACTCTTTTCCTTCAAGGTCATTTCCATATACCATTATACCTGGTTATCTCACAGAAGGGGGTATATAATGAAATAGTTAAGTTGTGTGTAACATCTAATGTTCTCCTTACTCCTTTAGTTTTTCTCTATTTTTTGTAATATTGTAATATTCATATTTTAATTCTAGATTCTATGTAATTACTGTTTTTATGGTTTTATTGTACACTGCCCAGTTTCTATGAGATGGGCAACATATAAATACGATAAAAATATTTTCTACACTAACCAAACATAAAACAAAATCATTTTTTAATTATTCAATAGGCTTAGTTCAATATCTGAGGCAAATATAGCATGAGGTCATTTGGTAGTAAATTTACTTTATACAATTTTGTTGTTTAAAAAGAATATACTCCATTTATTAATAGACTGAGTCTTTTTTAAAAAGAAACTCTTGTGTCAGAAGTTGTGTTTCTCTTAACTATGGGAAAGCACAGGCAAGGCAGGGTTTTGAGTTAATAATATTCAAGAACACTCACAGCAGTTGTACTTGCTTGATTTAGCTCCTGCTGTGCTGATTCCTTTTTTATTAACTTTGCAATTATAGAGCACAGCTAAACTCAAAAGTACTTCAAGCTGAGTCTTTTATATACTATCTCAGTTGTTCATCAGCAATCTTAGAGCCTGGAATGCAGTCAATTCCAAATTCCTTCCAACAATATTTATTACTGTAACATTGAACTGCATAATTAATTTAACAAAGATACACACACATACACACATATATATAGCACACATACATACATGCTGTGTTTATATAATGATATAAATATGTTATAAATGATATGTGTACCATACATTCCATTTGTACTAATTTTAAAAATATATTGTGAAGGAAACAATAAATTAGGAATTAATAGGCTTTTATATATTTTTTGTGAGTTTAGTGTATGTTTGCTTATGTAAATCAATAGTCTAAATACCTTGGTCACAGAACTTCTTAAGTATTACATTTAATTAAAGTTATTATCTTTAGATTAAGGGGGAAAATCACAGAAAGCTTCAAGGAAGAATTCTACCATTTAAATATTGACTAACAATTTCTTTCATGACATAAATCTGAATTATGGCTGAGAAGTTCAATAAACAGCTTTTCTATTATTAATTTCTACCTTTTGCTGACACTTCATCAGTGGAAAAAGATTTAGGCTACCTGGGTTGCAAAAATTTGGACCATTAGATGGCAGCAGAAATTTAGAACCTAATAATTTGCTGTCATTTAGCAGCCATCAAGATTTTTACAGCCTAGGATTTGGGGCATTAAGACACCTAATTGTAAAGGACAGGTGAATAATGCCCTAATGCCTTATATCATTTGTAGTATATTGTTATGTATATGTATATTTTGCTTCCCTCCTATCTTCATTGATATAAGTGGGGAGACTGTGGTTACAATGTTCTATTTTTTTGCTCCTGTAAAAATGAAAAATGAATATGAAAAAATAAACTATTTTAAAATAAGATAATTCCTGAATTAAACCTGACTCTTCATTTGTATCAAAAGAACTAAGAAGTAAGATAAAGAATTTGTGGAACATTATAATCATAAACTAATCTCCACACCAATATTTATCAAGATAGGAGGGAAGCATACATACATACATACATACATATATACATACTGTAAATGATATAAATAATTTGTAGTACTGTAGTATAAAGTTATATATAATTATGAAATACTATATTTTTTCAAGACGTGCCCACCAAGACTAAAGCAGGTCAGTACATTATAATTTCATCTTATTTAAAGATAAAAATAAAAAATGTTGTAAAATTATGTAGTAGAAAGTAAGCAATGTCTTCTAGAATGGATGAAAAGAAGAAAATATTAATTTTGGGCTTAAACTGAGGTAGAAAATGGACATCTAGAGAGGGAGAAGTCTAAGAATGCGTTTCCCAAACTGGACAACTTTAAGATATATGGTCTTTAACTCCCAGAAATCCCCAGCCAGCTTGTTTGAAAAGCACTGGCCTAAGACTGTGAAGTGCAAAATCACCAAGCAGCACTGATTAGTCAGATATCCTGGAGAATATACTGTATACTTATTGAGAACGCTAGTGATGGTGAAAAAAACAGATTACCATTAGTTCAGGACAATTCATTGGCATGATAGCTTCAAGCTTCAGTTGCTATCTTCTAATTAAAAAATAAATCTTTTTTACTATTTGTACATAAATTTGTGTATAAGACAATTCTAATGAGGAGACAAGATGAAGAATAAAGTTCCGAATAAAATCTACATGTTGATGTGGTTAAAATATACTGTTCTAACTGCAAAGAGCAGGACAGATAATACACAAAGACTCCATTCAGGATGTAGGCAGAAAAGAATGCTAGCAACAAGCAGTTGGCTTTCTAAAGAATGTTCCATTGGCAGTCACTGCCTTCCTAAAAATGAGTGGGAAACATGAATCTTCAAAAGTTTCTGGCCTGAATTTCCACAGCGATAAGGAAAGTTGGCAGTTCTACATAAGCTGACAGTTTTGTATTCTGGGTCCCTTTACTGTTCTCAATTCCTCCTACAGCCATGGCCTGGCTGATATTTTGACACAGTACAAAGTGGCTGTTTATTACAGTTGAGTGTTGTGGCCTGTACTGTGAAATGCATTTTGCCCATGGAATTTAACTGAACTTGGCATTTTAAGGCTTGTTGTTCAGTTGCTTACTTTTCCTGAGATTTCAGTGCTTCAAGACTGCTGAAGCCTCTGCTTCAAGTTGAAAAATGTTACACAGGAAGACATATCATGTAAAGGTTAGATTGGGTGTGATTTTGATGCTTAATTGTAAACAGCAAAGTGCAGAGAATCTTTTTTTTTTTGTCTCTTTGGCACACGCTATAGTGTGATTGTGTCTCTTAATACTGCATGTATTTAAGTTGTACGAACTTCCCATTAGTGTAACTAGCATAATAATGGAATATTATGCTATATACCTTGGTATATAGAAGAAAGAAACTAGCAAATTGTATGAAAATTTGGGGAACAATTTTTATTTATGTTGGGAACAAATTCTGGAATAATTAAGACTTTAAATTTCAACTGGTCTCGAACTAGCATTTTTCCTATTTCAATACTGCAATGGAAAATAACGAACTGAAAAGGTTCAGGCAAAAACTTTAAGAAATCACAAGATCAACCTTTCAGTAATTTCATATATTTTAATTATTAAAAATTATTTATTAACAAAGCTCAGGAAAATGCCAAAGTTCATATATTTGGTTTGTGTTTCTTTATAGGAGCTTCAGAAAGAAATTGAAACCCATACAGACATCTTCCATAGCCTGGATGAAAATGGACAGAAAATCTTGAGGTCACTTGAAGGTTCTGATGATGGTGCCTTGTTGCAGAGACGCCTGGATAACATGAACTTCCGATGGAGTGAACTTCGGAAAAAATCTTTAAATATCAGGTAGGGCTAAAAATAGCAACATCTGGGAAGCAGAAAACTGAGTGAAAACAGAATAATTATTGGTAACCCATCTACCTATATAGCCCTCACTCTATGTACCCTTAATCTTGTTATTCTAATTGGACTAAAATGGCTGCACAATTTAAGCAATGAGAATATACTAGATTATTCCATTACTCTGGAAAGATAGTTCATTTTCTGCTTATGAGAGAGTTTTAGGAAGCAAATAAATATTTGCATAAAAAGAGATTAATGCTACTTACCATGTTTTTGCTGAAATAATTACTTTATAACTATGATTCTGTACACTGTAATAAGAAAATTTGTAGCCCATGCTAAATTAATTTCAGAAGAATTACAACTAAATCAAATTTCAGAAGAAGCAAAGCAAATTTCGGAGGAAACTCAGTTTGTTCATATGATGTTCTTTCTCTGAGGAAAATAGCATATTTGAATCATGTTGTTTGGGAATTCCGATATAAATTTGCATAGAACTGGGAATTGTATTTACTTACAATAGTTACAATCTGGTGAATGGACAAAACTTTGAGGAAAGATTTGCAGTGTGGAACTCATACGTAAGTGTTGCTTAATTTTTGATGTAAGTTTAGGTCTGTAAATCCAATTGTGGGGTAGAAAGGTGATGTCTTCTTGGGGAGAAAAAGTCATTCTGCAAAAGTTCATAATAAAGAGCATTATTGCAGTGCAGACCCAGTATTGTTTAAATCACTTTTGTTTGCTCTCAACCCTCTTCAAAGCTTTTTTTTTTGCATGACAGAAATCATCTTCATAACATTCATTATTAAAAATAAATGAAATATGTGAATCTGAAAAATATTAATGTCTGAGGTGAAAAGAAAATTATTTTCCCCACATATATAAGAAAAAGGATCTTTGAAATCTACATGAGCCATTTTTATCCCCTGAATTTCATAGACAAAAAAGAAAAAAGAAAAACAGCATATGAGTCAAACAGAGGAGGTTTAATAAAGGAGCTTTTTAATGACTTCTTTGCTGTAATTTTGATCACCCAATTTTGATACCACTGACATTAAGCAAATTGAAAATAGTGACCATAGTTTATCATGGTTGCCTTTCTTTCTTGAATTAAACATTAAAGTAATCTTCTTGTTCTACAGAAATAGGAAGTTATAATGAGACATTTATTATAGCCAAACCATGTAGGTGAGAACACAGTTAAACTTTATTTTTTTCCTTAAACCACAAAAAGCGTACAGTTGTTATTACACACACCCATGCATACATATAAGGAACAAAACACTTATTTCTCTATAGATTGAAGAATGGACACAATAGTTATATGGCATACATTCACACAATATCTTGGACCTGGTTACTGTTCATTGTACAATGAAATGTGCATTTACACAATGTGCTAAGTCTGGACATTGGTAAGGTTTGTATACATGTATGTTTGTAAATTTTAAAATCCTAGATGAATATAGCCCAGAGAAGTTATGTGAATTCAAAAATGGATTAATTCAGTAATCAAACTGTGCAAGTTATATGAACAGAACTACAATGAGAATCACGCAACAAAATGCCTCTCAGCATATACTGTAATTCAAGTTCACATTTAGCAGAATCAAACTCATAAATACTTTCATACAAAAGCCTACAATTTGTTTTGTATTCCCCCAAGTTATTTTTCAGCTACTGATTATGAAAATTAAATGTTCTTGGTTATTAATTTTGGATGTGAGAATCAGTATTCTTACTGCAAATTCTTAAGGGATCCATTTGTCAATCCTGATATATTTTCTTCCCATTCACCACTTTTGAACACTGTATTTTGCCTCCTAACTTTTGTTTGCATAATTCAAGCTCTCCTTTTTGAAAGTCACAAAAGGTACAGTGCTCACAGTCTGAAAAGCTGAACTTTTGAATGTAGATGTTTGGCTTTGAGGAAAGTTGACTTCCTTTAAGATCCTTTTAGAGAAGGTTTTGTTTTGTTTTGTTTAGATGAAAGTCTCACCCTTTCAAAATAATATAAAGTTTCACCCCCACAAATGAGGTGTGCTTCGATCCTGCACTTGCAACATTTGACATCCAGCTAACGCTGTTGGGCAGGCTTCAGCAATCTTAAAGCTAGTTTATGCTGATTTTAATGGAGATGGAGCATAAATTTTACAGAAATTTATATTAATTTTTTGTACTTCGTACTCAGTACACATTACTTATTAAAAGCTTTTGTACTCATTTTGTGACCTTTGGGGGAGGGGAGGGGAGGGAAGGGAAGGAGGAAGGAAGGAAGGAAGGAAGGAAGGAAGGAAGGAAGGAAGGAAGGAAGGAAGGAAGGAAGGAAGGAAGGAAGGAAGGAAGGAAACAGATCTGCTATATTGCTTATATTTTAACCTTTAAGAAATTCGTTGAAATAGAGGGGAAAGAAATAGTAAAAGTTCTGATCTCACATTGTGCCTTGCTACTGAAATTATCTTTTTCATATTGTCTTTAATTTGCATATATGAATCAAGGAATTGCTTTTGGTGATATTTGTAACACAAACTTAACCTCTTTTTCAGGTCTCATCTAGAAGCCAGTTCTGATCAGTGGAGACGTCTACATCTTTCTCTTCAGGAACTTCTGGCATGGCTGCAGTTGAAAGAAGATGAGCTAAAGCGACAGACACCAATTGGTGGTGATCTTCCCACTGTACAAAAGCAGAATGATACCCATAGGGTATGATTTTTAACAAAAAAAACTTCAGGAAGTTAATATAAAAACATAAAAATTTGAAAACTATTAACTGATTTCCCAGGTTGCTAATGTAATCTCTCAGATTATAGTTTTAATATCTTTATGTTTAATTATGCTTCAGGCAATAGATGTAAAGAACTATATATCTTAATACAACCACTTTTTAAGGCATGATAAAAATAAATGGTGAACTGCAGTGGGGGTAACTAGAGGACAAGTACATAAGTCATGGCAACTGTATTATGAAGTCATGTGATAAAAACATATGACATTATAATACAAATGCCATGACTTAGGTCAGGGGTCCTCAACCTTGGCAACTTTAAGACTTGTGGACTTCAATTCCCAGCAAAGCTGGCTGAGGAATTCTGGGAGTTGAAGTCCAAAGTCTTAAAGTTGCCAAGGTTGAGGACCCCTGACTTAGGTACTTTCATCTGATGTTGGACACAAGTACATATTGGAATTTATGTCAAGGCATCATAACATGTGTTTCATCATGTTGGCAGCATTGCAGCTTGCTGTAAATGATACCATATTTGCTGAACCTTTGTCCTCCAACAAAGGTTGGGTTCCTTTGGAGGAGGTATTATTTTATGATTCTTGTTTTATGGGATTTCAAAGCCTATAGTGACATTGCAAAGATGGACTCAGCATTTCATGACTCCCTTTTATCTGTGCAGCTGAAAATATTTGTTGGCAATATTGTGATTTGGAATACAGAGATTTGGAATACAGAGATGGCAAAAAAAGATTGACACAATTGCTTCTCTTTCTCTTGTAGAGCCAAATACATTCTTCAATTTATTAGCAAGGTAAAAATGATGAAAGGGCTAGGACAACAGCTGAACTACAAGATCAAAATATGCTTGTTTGAAGGCCTAATTCATGGCAGTCCAGATAGAAAAGATGGATTACATCAATGTCTTTATTATACCTGCATTGATAAAGTGGTACTACTCTCTGCACTGTGCATTTTATTAGACAAATGAGAGAGTCATTATGAACAGTTCACATAATTCATTGTGGATAGCATTATTCAGATCTGCTACCCTCTGGATGCCAGTGTTAAGGCTGATCATTGAAATGTACATTTAGCAGCCATATAACTTGTTGTTATAAATCTTGCAGGCTAGCTAAGTGAAAAGATAAGTTATTCATTATTTAAACCTTGTTTCTTCCTCCCTAGCTGATAAATCTGTCAAAGTAGAACTGACCACATATTTAATGGATGTAATAAATCTCTCTTGCAATTGGTATGCATTCCCCCACCCAATCTATTTAAAGGAGGAGACCTGGAACAGCTGTGCAGTTACAGGTCAACTCAAACAATTTCTAGGAAAACTGATTGAAAAGGCCTCACAGATGTACTTATAATTGATTTGATACTAACTGTCTGAATTCATTTTAATTTGACTTTCCACTTGGATAACAGACTTCTATACCACTTTTGTATGACCCATTTGGATCCTGGATGGATAGGGTATGACTCTACTTGTTGTATGGAATCACTTGATGGCTTTTATAATATTTACCCCAGTATACTTAATTGGCCAGTGAAATGAGGATTTTTTTTATTATTTTTATTGATTTTTTAATACAATTCAACAGTACTTATTCAACAAACGTGTTGTCTGAGTTTATCATTTACTAATACAAATTAAATTCCTAATCCCTAATTTGTTTCTCCAAGCTTGAAAATATTCTGTTTCTTCTTTTTCTTTCAACCTCAAAGTAAGTTTGTCCATTTCCACATAGTCTAGTATTTTTTTAATTATTTCTTCCTCTGGTGGTATGTCTTCATTTTTTCCAGGATTGTGCGAATATAATTCTTGCTGCTGTTATCACGTGCAAAATCAAATATATACTTTGTTTATCACGTTTTTCTGGCATTATGCCTAATAAAAAGAGTTCAGGTTTAAAATCTACATGTTTCCCCAACATCTTTTCTAGCGAGTATGTATTTTTGTCCAATATCTCTTTGCTTTAACACATGTCCACCACATATGATAAAAAGTACCTGGTTTATGATTACATTTCCAACATTTATCTGACATATTTTTTAAACATTTTCACTAATCTTGCTGGTGGCAAATGCCATCTATAAAACATTTTATATAAATTTTCTTTATAAGAGCTTGACATTGTCCGTTTATAATTTCTTTCCCACAGGCTTTGCCATTTCTCTAAGTCTATATTGTATCCAAAGTTCTTTGCCCATATTATGATTGTTTCTTTTACTTGTTCATCTTCCATTTTCAAATTTAATAAAAAGTTATACATTTTCTTAATTAGTTTTTAATCAGAGGCTAGTAATATCTGATCAAACAAAATCTGCTCTTTATAAAATCCATACAGTTTAACATTTTTATCATATCTCACTTGCATTTGTAAATGTGACCACCATGATAGATCAATACCCTGATTTTCCATCTCTTGTCTAGATTTTAAGTTCCCTTCAGAGTTCAGAATATCTTTATATGTCCATATTTTCTCAAGACTGACTAAATTTGGATGTACAAATGCTTCCGTTGTTGAAAGCCATCCTGAAATTTTCAAATATATTTTACATTTTATTTTTTTCCATGTTAATAATAATGCATTTCTAATGTAGTGGTTTTGAAAATATTTATGAATTTTATTTTTTCCATACCATAAGAAAGCATGCCAACCGAGTTGTAAGTCATGTCACTCCAAATACAACATTTTTTTGTTTCTGGGGTTTATCCATTCTTTTACCCATGTTAATACTGATGGTTGATAATATAAAACCCACTCTGGCAAACCAAAACCTCCATTCCCCTTAGCTTCTTGTAACATTTTCAGTTTAATTCTAGCTTTCTTTCCTTGCCAAATAAATTTTAAATTTAGGGAATTTAAGTCTTCAAAGAATTTTTTCTCTAGTTTTATGGGTATTGTTTGGAATAAAAACAGTATTTTTGGTAATATATTTATTTTCACCATAGCAATTCTTCCTAACATCGACAATTGCAGATTTTTCCATTTTTCCAAGTCAAGTTTTATTTTGTTTAGTAATTTTATATAATTATCTTCTTTTATCATTAAGCATCTTGCTGTCAGGTATATTTCCAAGTATTTAACCTTTTTAACTATTTATAGTTTTATTTTTTCTGACAGTTGTTTTTTGTTTGTTTGTTTGTTTATCTGTAAGATTTTTAACTATTACTTTAGTCTTTTCTCTGTTTATCTTTAGTCCTGCTACCTCTCCAAACTGTTCTAGTGGACATCCTTGTCTTGTGCCTTTTCTTATATCAAAATTCTCTATGGTGAAATGAGTTTTAGGGGCAGTTTTAGTTTTAGGGGTTTTTTTGTGCATAATTCTGGATTTCCCATAAAACCAACTCTAGAGGTTTGTATCAATTAATTTGCCATAGACCAGATCTATGATTACCCATAGGCCTCCATACCCATTTAGTACATAGTGTGATTAACTGAAAAATCATGAAATGACATTACAAAACAAACCTCTGCCTTTTGTATTTGTATCCTGATATCAGGACACAAATCCCTGATTACCATAAATCATGGAGTGTGTTGACTCAAATTCATCATTCGTGTTTCCTTGCCATCTGTAAAGACCTATGCTTGTCTCCCCTGCTGTTTAAGATCTTCATAAAACAGTTAGAGCTGGTTATTTTGGAACCAGGCATTATTTTAGTACCTTTGAATATTATGAAAACTTTATAATAGACTAGGTGAACTAACCAAATGGAACTTATATGCAAATGATTAAAATGGTGTTTGTAACTGAAAAACTATTTTCTGGAATTAAAATTCCACCTCTTTTGGTTAGGTTTGAATTCCCCCCAGTGATCAGGTCACACATTAGGAGTATTACTTGAACCTCAGCTGTAATTTGATTAAAAGATGGAGACTGAGGTTCATCGTGCATTTATCAGTGCACCAGTTGGATTTGGCAAAGGCTACCTATGTGTTGGTTATGCCTTGTACTGACTATTGGAAAAGCAAACTTTGAAAAGTATGTAAAGAGTTGGATTGTCGAAACATAGCATTTGTGGTTTATAAAGCTTCTGACAATAAAAGTATACTATGGAATGCGTGATTTCAGAAGCAATTGTAAAGTCTAATTTCTTAACCGCTTTGACCATGTTTCTCATCTCTGTCTCTTCCACAAGGACTCATGTTCTTTGGTTACAATTCCTGTTCCAGTTAACTATCAAAGCTAGTCTCTTCATGGATACTTTTAGAAAACCTTTTTCACATGCGTAGCACATTTGTAACAGAATATAAAACTTGTCTTGTTAGAAGCATCGGTTCCCTGTGGAAGAAAAAGAACAAAAGTCAGTTTGATATTTAGGTCATCCTGTCTATTTCTCAGAAAGTCTTGGTTTTAAAAAAGGTGGAAAATAAGACCTACTTTAAAATTGTCTTTGACAGATTATTTATACTTTTCAGGATTCCTCCTCTTTCTAGTACGTTTTCTTACCAAAACAATCTGTGTGCTACCCTATAGATATATTTTATTGCTTTGCATGATAATAGTGCTAAAATATTGGGTCCTTTAGAAATCAGTTAGTCTTCTCTGTTGTTTCAATTTTATTTTCACAGAAATCTTATGAGATAAATTAGGTTAAATACAAGAGTATCAATTATCTATAATTTGATCTTAGCCTTTGGGGAAGACTTAGTGGGGGAAGCAGAAATAGCAGGCATATTGAAGAAGAAAAAAAGTGTAACATTCTAGATTTTTAAAGGAAAATTAAATATGCATTTTGTCCAAAATTATCAAATGATTCTTGCAGCTATATTGCACATGACCATGTGTCCACAACCCTAATCCAATACTGATTACTATACATTTTATTAAACTGCATTTCTTTCAGTTCTCATCCCAAAATTGTTTCAATAGGAATTTTCTTGATTTCTTTCTATGGAGAAACTTATTTTATGTAGATATTTGGGTTCTTATCCAATATAAATTAGTATGATTTCCAATATTTCATATACTTTTTGTGAATATTGAACAGCACAGTAAAATAGGTCATGTTATATTTATTTTGCATACATTAAGTATATCATAATAGAAAATAAAATTGATTAATCACATAACATGGAATTTGACAATATTTTGTTTTATGTGTACCAAAATGGCTACAGTAATCCCTATTTGCCCTATATTTAATCCCTATTTGCCCTATAATTTAATTTATACTGCCTGGTCTTATTTGTACAAATAACAGTAAGATTCTGAAGTGAAACTTATAACTCTATTTTATTACCTCTAGCAAAAAATATCAGCCTCAAAACAGGAAAAACACATGGATACGTCATAGTGGACTTCAGTAAATTTCCTCTACTGGGATGACTCTATGACTGAAATATAGGAAATTTAAAAATTAAAAGAAGCAATTGCAAATGGAAAAGTTAGAGAAGTGTGTACTGTGTGTAAAAATATCCAAGTTATTGATGATGCAATGGGGAGCTGTGGATTAAAATATGAGGGGAAGCAAATAAAAGCAATACTATTGTCCAACCAGTCAACCAGAACATACTTTCCAAAGGCAAAAAGTTTTTTCAAAGGGCATGAGGAAGTAATATTGAGGCATTTATACTGGGAGAAAATTCTGCCAAGCAGGATTTTTCCAGAGAATTTCTGACAGTGTTCTCCTCCAGAAGATGAAAGGAAATACAAGGAGTATCGGTTATCCATGACCTGATCCTAACTATTGGGAAAGACTTAGTCAAGGAAGCTGAAATACATGGAATATTGAAAAAAAGTATAACACAATAATAATAATAATAATAATCATCATCATCATCCAGAAGTTTTAAGAAAGTCTATCAGATATTTATCTTGTAGTAAATGCTTTGACCAGGGAGTGAGAACTATTATTTTGAAGGAGTTTTGGTAAAAAGTTTAGGCAATTGAATACAATATGCCAGATAAGATTGAATCCAGAACAGGAATTACTGTCTTCAGGAAGGATGTATTTGACCAAAGTATCTTGCAATTTATTTATTTACTTTTCATTTACTAAAAAGAACATGAAAACATTTTACCTTTCTTTGCTTTTTCATTCAGTGAAAAAAAGGAAAATATATAGTCAGGCTATAAAAGCAACTTAAATGTCAGTTTATATTTTTATTGTTTCCTTTTGTAGGCCTTTAAGAGGGAATTAAAAATGAAAGACCCTGTTGTCTTGAATGCACTTGAAACAGCCCGAATGTTCATATCTGAGAAGCCTCTGGAAGGACTGGAGAAGTTTTACCAGGAGCCGAGAGGTAATTGCTAGGGTGCAATAATAACCTTCCGGAAGAAGAAGCAGCAGTGACTAAAAAAAAATCTATCCATTCTTATTGGACTCTTTAAATATTTGCAAGTTTAATATGACAAGAATAAGAACACTCAGAATGTAAACAGTAATCAATTTGCAGGTTTATGAGCATACCGTCTTTGCATATTCTAATCTAATATTGTTTCAACAGTATATGGAAATAGGTGATCATGATGCTACTCAGTGGACTTAATGCCATTGATATAACCCCATGATACTACTCAATTTGAGCTAGTGCCACAGATATAACATTGAAATATTTTTGCCTCTTAATAATAAAAAAAATGAGATTTTGTTTTTAAATTTTATTTCTGTTATCTATGTGCTTCACTTTTAGAGCTGTCTCCGGGTGAAAGAGCCCAGAATGTAACTCGACTCCTAAAGAAGCAGGCAGATGAGGTTAAAACAGAATGGGATAAACTGAATCTACAATCTGCCGACTGGCAAAAAAAGATTGATGAAGCCCTTGAAAGACTACAAGAGCTTCATGAGGCAATGGATGATTTTGATCTAAAACTGCGTCAGGCAGAAACTGTCAAAGAGTCTTGGCAGCCAGTTGGAGATTTGCTCATTGACTCACTGCAGGATCATCTTGAAAAACTGAAGGTAAAATGGTATTTCTGCTCAGTGCTGTTTCCATTAAGATACACTTAACATTCTGCTGTAGCTCCCCCTTCAACACAAAGAGAGAATTCACTGTGATTTTAATTAATCACAATGAATATTAAGATAACATATTAATAAAAATATATTACTGCTATCTTTAAATTTAGTTGTGCCTTAAAATGTAGGCTAGTGAGAAATTCCAAAGGCATTCAGTTTTATATGTCAAATTATTTTAGTTATGCATTTTTAGGAAACTTTATTTGCCTATTTATTGTTAATGTAATCAAATTTATTTATATATATATACATTATGGAAAAATGTCAGCAAAATTATAGTTACTTTGTGGACTAATTATCCACTTCCTAGGGTGCAAGAACATGCTTTCATATCTATACTATTTACATTAATTGATTGATTGATTGATTTATTATTGTCATCAAGTAATTGATGACTCTCAGCAGCCATATAGATATTCTCCTTGATGATCTATTCCAGACATGTCAAACTCGCGATGTCACATGACGTCGCACAACCTATCAGGATGGTTTTGCCATTGCCGGCAATGGGGTGGGTGTGGCTTCCGGATGACGCATCCAGCCCGTAGGCCGGCAGTTTGACATCCCTGATCTATTCTATCCCTATCCTGATCCTTCAATTCTTGCAATAGTGCACTCATTGCCACTGTTAGCAAGTCCATTTTCCTTGCTGCTGATCACCCTCTTGTCCATTTTTTATCCTGAATATAAATTAAATAATTTTTTTCATCAAAAATTAAATTATTTTTCATTAGAAATTTCTTAAATTAAATATTTTTCATCCTGAATAGAAATTAAATCATTTTAACAGTAGTTTTGTGGTCTCTAGAAGTCTGAGTGGCATCTGCTGCAATGAATGGGCATGACTTTCATTCAGGCTTTCATTCTATCACTTCTTGGCCATTCTTTTATGAACAGATTAGCCATCCTATCTCTGAGATGGAATGAATTATTTAGATAGTCCTTGATATGGGTTGTCATGTAAGATGTTTTATATCTCCTTAAGAGAAAAGTGGGATGAAAAAGTTTGAAGATCCGGAAGGTCCTAGTTCTAATTTAATTTATTTTTCTGACCTTGTTCTCTCTCTCTCTCTCTCTCTCTCTCTCTCTCTCTCTCTCTCTCTCTCTCTCTCTGTCTCTCCCCACCCCCACTCCCGCTTCTGTTCTTTGTGACCTATTTTTTTTCCAATTTCTTAGTTGCTATCAACATTCCTCATGGTTAATCCCTTGATCTTTTTGTTTTAGCCATGCCTTTACTTTGTCAATGTATTCCTTTTCCATTTTCCACTCTCATCTCTTTGCATCCTTTTGCAACAATATGTGGCTAAAGTCATCACAAGTCTTCAAAATGTTCATTTCTCTTTATTAGAGTGCATCATGGAAATATGGTTTTTAGCAATTTACATGCAGTTGATAGCTGAATTGTATTTCAGGATGCATTACTAAAGCAAAAAATAACCTGCTGTATTGAATTATGTTGGTTAGTATGGCTAGAATAAGGAAAATCATTAGTTTAGTTCATCCATAGAAAACAGTTCTTTTTCAACAAGCTAGAATCTATCTTTTCCATTTTGAAAAAATAGTTCAGGTCAGTTTTTTTCTGTCAAAGTGAATGCAGTGAAATCAGTACTATGTATTAGGTGTCTGGAAGTCTTTCTTCTTTTGCCACTATAGAACACAGATCTGAAGCCTTATGAAACATATGCTAGTAACAGAATATTTATATGCCAATTTTGTCTATGTGGGTTTTGAAGATATCAGAAAGGTTTAACTGAGTTCAAGGTTGATAAGAACACATTGGTTCATGTGGATATGGGAGATTTCTAGGACAACGATCCTATGGTTGTTCTCCGCTGACATTTGCTCATGGGTCTGCAATGATTTTAATCTATTTCATTTGTATTTTGACTCTTTAGAACATTTTACATCCTTCATGCATAAGATCAAGTTACACTTTATATACCTTATGATAGAATTAGGGTGGAGAAATGGATACATTTCTTTGGAGATTTTTGCCACCAACAAATTGCAGTTGTTTGTAAACAAACAAATCATTTTGATTTTCTATATTAGCATGACTATTACTTTAATAGCTACCCAATATATGAATATATCAGATTAAACATATCAAGGTTTATTGATATTAAACATATCAATACTTTTTAAAGTATTACTTTTATTACTGTTAGTAAATGATGTTTTATATCTAATATGAAAGAATATGAAATAAATATTTTAGGGTTCTTTTTTCAAATGAATATCACTGGACTATAACATGCAATTATCAATAACTTATGGAGTCATGTGCACTACAATAACTTAATCAGATAACTCTAGTTCATAAATATGGCATGTATTTTAAACCTTTAACCTTAAATTTAATGCATATATTAATCAAATGAACTCCACAGAATCAAGCCACCTTCATTCAGATCTCCTTCCTCTTTCTTTTAATTTCACAGGTACATTCTATTTTGTTTATTTCATTCATTATATTTATTAATTCATGCCTTTTGCCATATAATCTTCTTAAAGTCCAATAGCCATCTTTTATATTTAATAGTGATTACAAAATGGGACCAGAGATATCTTGGCTACCCACTATAACTTTGGTCAGTTGAGACTATTACATAATGCTTTTTAATAATTCAGAGACAACATAATTACATGTAAACAATATAGATATAAATATCTATATAGATATATATTATTTATATTATCAATATAGACAGTAAAAATTACCAACCTCATTTGTAGCTATATCATAGTGGTGGCGAACCTATGGCACGCGTGCCAGAGACGGCAGAGCCCTCTCTGTGGGCACGTGCGCCATTGCCCCAGTCCCGCCTCCCTCCATGGCCCCCTCCTCACCACCAGCCTTCCCCCGGAGGAGAGTCACCCATGGGCATGGCCCGCACAGAGCAGCGCAGCCAAGCACATGGCACCAGGGACAAGATTCCACCCTCGCGCCCTGTCATGCGTAGATGATGCTGCAGGGCACGGGTGGAGGGGATGACAGGCTGTGGAGGAAGTGGGTGGTCCTGTGGGTGGGTGAGGCGGGGGCGTAGTGAGGGCAGGGTGGGGGGACGGAACAGGGGCAGGGGTGGAGTGGGTAGGGCGAGCAGTTTTGGGGCACTTGGTCTCTAAAAGGTTCACCGTCACTGCTATATCACATGCACCATTCCCTGCTAATGGTAAGAAATGTATTAATTCATTTCACAAGTTTTAGACAAGATGCTTCAAGGGCAATCAAAACCTATTTTTGGCTTAAGCTTGGTCACTCTATCCATGCAAGTTATAATTTCCTGAAAGCCAATATATTGTTGCCCTCATGCCACTATCTTAGAAGCACATTTTTGCTTATTTTGAGAGCAAAGTAAATGAAGGACATTACGGAAAGATAAAAGAAAAGAATGCAAGAGACAAATTTTGAAAAATCACATGCCACCTGGGGTAACCAGTAGCAAATTATGTGAAATTCTGTTACTATTTGAATTATACACTTCTGAACCAGAAGAGGACTAATTTCATATAATTATTTCCCATCTTCACAGTATGTGTCTCCAAGGAATAGAATTATATGGAGAATGAGAAAAATTCTTTGTTATGCTTGTGACACATCCTTGTATTGGATGACAAACATTAACAAAAGTATTTTAGGGAGTGTTGTTTTTTTAAGGGATAGAAAAGAGATAAAAGCTTTACCTTAGTTGAAAAGAGATAATCCTAGATCAAATGCCTGTTTTCCAAGAAAAATCTTTGTCTTGAACTTATTTTAATTTTCTGGAAGACAAATTCTGAATATTGTTGGAATTATTCACATGATTTTAAGCCACTAAATCAAATTCATAAATTCTTCTTTTTGCTTGCAATCCCAACAGTTTATGTAGCATAAAATTAAATTTTACATTTTGATAAGTACACTTCACCAATTTTAATGGAATATTTGTATGACATACTAAGACAAAATATGAGTTTTTTAGTATCAGTAATATTTTAACCAGCTTTTGCTAACATACTGGGTGAACTGGGTCATACTCCTCTAAGAATTATTTGTATCTTTTTAATCTTTTCAAAAGTTCATCAAATAATATTTTCAAAAGCTTGCATCATATTGGAAAATTTAATTTAGAGAAAAAAACTAAATTAAGAGTCTCTCTGTGTTTCTTCTTCTGGAGTGGAGATGTTATTTTCTTTTTAACAAGAGAAGACAAAGCAGATATGGTGAAAGGAACAAGTTAATTTATTAATAGTGAATGAGAATAAATGGTTGTTTTCGCCTGAGAGAGTCAATAGTCTTGCTGACAGTTTCCTGAACTGAAAATAAAATTGCTGAGTACCAGGTACATAATTAGGAAAATAGCATCTTGGATTCTGGCTAAGACAAGCGTGATGATTTAGTTTGGTTAGAGTGGCCTACTTGGTTTTAGCCATATGTAGTTGTAGGCAGAATTTTGGAGAATAGGGAGGAATGGAGAGTTATACTGGCCTATTATAATTCTATCTTTCTGAAAAGGTGCTTCGTGCAGAGTACTTTTAGTGTTCCAGATGGTAGAACTATTCTGGAGAGGTGATGGATTGGTACAGATAGTCCACTGCAGGAGGTTGATGGATCTGCTTTGGGGATGTTCTTTCTACCATCAAGCAATTCTGTCAAATCCTGATTGACCTATAAAATAGAAAATGGGCTGTGCAATAGAAACAACCATCTTTTAATGGTCTTTCCTGCTGAGTACAGTTAATCAAACTGCCTGGTTTTCAAAGAAGCTGTTGGCAAAAAAGTGAAAAGGAGTAGAGTGCTGTTAGCAAAAAAAAACAAAAAACCCTCATTTGAAAGACTAGCTTGTGACAGCAATGCCACTGAAGAAATCTTTTGTCTCTGCTGCTACTGTGTCTCAGCAAAGCTGAGCAATTTAGCAATCTGGGTAGACAGAAGCCTATTGAATTCTGGTACACGAGAATAAAGATCACAGAAAAGCCTATTGTAATACATTTCCCCCAGAATTTACTGTTCAAATTACTCATCTCCTTGATGACTTGAATGTTGTGCTTGATACAGATTGAGTTAAAATCTTCTTAGTTGTATAATGGAACTTATTGGCATCAACAGGAATCTTTTAAAGGGGAGACTTTCAGGATGTATGTTTATTGAGTTATGAAAGTGCATATATTAGTAATAGAAGAAGAGCTTAGAGGTGATTGAATATTTTACAAGGCAGTATTTAAAAAACAGTAATAATATCTTGATAATAAAAAACTTTTCACTTTAGTATTTCAAATGTTCCATCTTGTCAAATTCAGTATCTCAAATATCCCATATTATCTAACAACTTTATGAAAACTCTCAGACTCTCCTCCATGATGATTTCTTGCCAATATGTGAATGACACAAAATTATACCATTCTTTTCCAAATACAAATGCAAACATGCTGAGTTATTTTGGAGATAGGGTTGGGATAAATGGGGGAATAAAGAATCTGAAAATTAACTGAAGAGAGACAGAAGGCACAACTTATAAAAATGGTAACCTATCTGTATAATATTTGGGATATCTTCTGAACTTAATATTACTTTTATAACGAGAGGTGATTAAAAGCATACTTTATCAGACTAACATAGTTTGCTAATTGCACATCTAGTTATAATGGTTAGAATTTGCTTCATTTTCTATGTAAAAGTTAGATTACTGTGGTATAGAGTATTCTGAGTAACTTCTAGAGTTTAGGTTTTGATTTATGCAAAACAGACTTAAAATTTATAAATTATGTTAAAACAGATAATATTTTTTATATTTACCAGCCTTAAGGACCCGTGTAACCCTTATGGTTTTAAGATTAAACATAAACATTAAGATTAAACATTAAACATTAGCCTCAATTGTCTCTTATCCTATCCATTTATAAGATGCTCACAGACTTAGTTCATTTGCTTGAAAATAAATTAGACTGGTAAACATGAAAAAGGGCTTTGGAGATGTCTTATAACTTCATAAGGTTTTTCCATTCTTCATGTTAATATACGTAGAATAACATTTACTTTATGCTCAAATATTTATAAATATAAAATTAATACTCTTATTAATATTCTTACAATAAAAATCTTTTTATTCTTAAGAAGTTTTTATTCTTAAGATGTTTTTATTCTGAACAATGATCCTGACTCATTGTGATACCAAGTCTCATCTAAATTATTTGTTTATTCAACTTATATTCCACCTTTCCTTTAGAAGTTCAAGCCAAACTTCCTTTCTTTCGAGTCCAGAGCCTTACATACACTACAGTCATGAATAGTATAATATGTTTATCTATCTTTCTATCTCAGTGAAACATAAGAAGTGAAAAGTTTGATATGAGACATTAAGCTGATTCTGGCATTAACCTGTCATTACAAAGGAAGATTAGACATACAGAAGTATAAATGTAAGACCCATATATTTCCTCCTGTTTCTTTTCAAGTTCTGCATTTTGTTATCTTCCTCAGCACTGTTGATTGCAGCAGCATAAAGTCTAATTGCAGGTCACATCCTACCTACATAAATGTCTTTTCTTTCTCATTTATCTGCTTTCATTTCATTATGCGCCTAATTAGCTTGCTTGGTCACTACATACTATAATCCTGAGATGCCAGTTTAGTTATTCTGAACTCCTCATACACTCTCCCAGTAGAGATAATTAGAATAATATGAAGTTTTTTGCAATTTCCATTCTCTCGATGCATCATTTTAAATATTTTGAACTTGTTTGGCCTACCATCTATATCTGGTGACTGAGAGTCAATGCATTTCAATGGATAAAATACTGAGAGAATACCTAAAAAGGCAATGAATCTCATTAAGAGTTTTAAGTCTAGTCCAAAAAAAATTCCCCCCTGTGAAAATAAAATAAATCCAGAACATGAAGTTGTAGCTGTTCTGCTTAAAGAAAATTAATATAGTAAATCTAATTGTTCAGATCTAGAAATCAGCTTAAAACTTTTTCAGAATATATTGCCTTTAACTTTCTCTAGGAGAAAGATACTAAAAATATTTTTATTAGTTCTTACTTTTTTTCTTTAATCTAATTTATGAGGTTAATGGCAGTGATTTATAAAATTGCTTTTATAATATATTGACATAAACACACACACACACACACACACACACACACCTTTATAGAACCTTTGTTTGCCCTTCCCAAGCATCCTCCTAAAATCTGCAGAAGCCTAAGGAGTTGCAAGGCCTCTCACAGCTCTTACAATATCTTTAAGTGGCCCCTTTTTGACGGCTTTCCATTAAAATATATTAACCCAATGAAGCAACACCAACAATTATTATACAGCTAATATCCAGAGGTTCTTGTGGAACTATGAACTGGAGTACTGTAGTAGTACTAGAGGAATACAACAAATGTTTTTGTATTCTGTGTCCAAAAACTGACTCTGTATTCTAACCTAATTTGCAGAAAGCATAGGGTTTTATGGTTTCAAGTAAAGGAGAATATTAGTAACTCAGGGTTGAAATGAGGTGTTCTTGATGTTCTCTGAGCTTGGTTGTTTTCTTGCACTGATGATGTTACCCAATTTGGACAATGAAACTTCTGCAAGAAAACAACTAAGCTCAGAAAGCACCAGAAACCCCTCATTTTATTTTGTTTTGCATAAAGTTTTTTTTTATTTCATCTATATAGCACCCTAACTTTACATTACTTTACACAGGTCTACCAAGGAGAAATTGCTCCTCTTAAAGAGAACATGAACAATGTTAATGGCTTAGCTCATCAGTTTACCTCATCTGAGATTCCACTTTCTCCGTATATGCTCAGCAGGCTAGAAGACCTGAATGGAAGATGGAAACACCTGCAGGTAATAATGTACCACTTAAGAACAATCAATACTGTCAGGGTAATGATTTGGATATTTTTATCTGTTCTGATTTTCCATCAAGCAAAGCAAGAAACAAATAGATCCTAATCACTTTCTGTTAGAACTGAGATTACTTATTTTATGAGTAATAAGGTAATAGTTATATCCATGCTATACAGATGCATGAATTGTTTCATTTTTTTAAGAACAAAAAATGTAATATATTTCTAAAGTACAGTTTTAACAATACTTTCAAATGATGGTTGCAAAACTCTACTTTGGCAAATATTACTTAAAATTATTAATTATTAATGATTAAAATAGATTGTTGATGATTAGCACCATTATTCAAATTACTCCCCTCTTGGTCAAAATAGTATTTTTGGGTTTCCATAATTCCATTGATATATGATAACTTTTTAATTACCAATTAATATAATCAGAACCAGAAATAGGCAGTTATTGTTTCAATGTGAGGGAGGGCCTATTTGTTGTCCTCTGAGTCCAGAAAGTTCAGTGACCATTATCTCCCTCTTAGGTAATATAGTGATTACTCTAAAGACTTTAGTTACACTAGTAAATTTGACATCATTGAGAATGTTATGTAGTATTCTAGTTGTGGGATATCTGTGTACACTTCTGTAATTGTTTTTCTGAAGGCTAATTAAATCTTTCAGGATAATATAATTTGTCTGCAGCTTTACTCCTGCTTGTATGTGAGGGGTTTTGTTTTGTTTTGTTAAAAAGTACAGTGTTTGGGGCTGTGCAGCAAAGTTTTGAGTTCTTTTGTCTTTCTCTGAGGTCAGTTTCAATTAGTGTTGATTCAGTAGCTAAATCATAAATAGTTATTAAACTCTCCCCCCTAGTTAAATTTATTTCATGATATATGTATTAAAGACATTTGATATATCTCCATTTAGTTTAATCTGGCTTTTAGAACCTCCTTTATTTATTATCACTAACTCTGAAATTACAGTGGAATCATACGGTATGAATCTGATCTGTTCTGTGACATAATAGCAAGAGTTTATTAATCTCAATTTGTTAATATATGAATTACTTCTTCTATGGCCTAGTTCTACCAAAGCTGGAAGAAAGGTATGTAATTAAAAAGCTAGATTAGCACTGCTTACAATTTATGCTACAGAACCAGGTATCCCCAGTTTCCAGGCTGCAAGAATCCAACAATGAATCTGATCTGAAATAGACCTCTCTTATACAAGCCCCGCTGAAGCCCTCAAGCAAGAAATAGTACAAAAAGCAATGATTCACTCAATACTGACATTGGAAGCATATTCTTTTACAAGAAAGGATGCTATTGGCATTATTAGCATAACTATCTCTCCTACTGACACCCCAAACAACTAAGGAAAATAGAGCATTACTGATGACTGCTTATTACAGATTTGTTTATGACTACCTTTTATTTTGAATTTGTTTAAGATACATCTGTCACTCTATAGAGCCTATCACACCTGTCACAATGTACAACCAATCTCCCAAAGTTTTGGCAATGGAAATTTATAACTTTACTATAATAATTCAGGAGGATTTAGTGCCATCAGAGAATATTGAGCTGATGTAATGAAGAAATCTCAAGGAAAAGGCTAATACTTCGGGGTATTTATGAAGAAACCAATAAGGAATTCTTACTCATTGTCCTGTAAATGCAAATACAAATTGAAAGTATTCTCTACATGAAGGAAAGATAATGGGTTATTTGAATACTTTACCTTTAGTCTGTCTACAATCATTTAAGTTATTATCAGGCAAATCAACACATTTATTTCATTCACTTAAATCCAAGGGGTACAACTATCATCCTACAGTACTCCATGTATGGCCCTAAGAGTTCTTAGAGTATCCATCTCTCCCACAACGGTATGTTTTTAAAAGCTGCCTTCAGGCTTACTGAGCTTAAGACAGCCATTGGATGCTTTTTTAAAAAATAATTTCGCGAGATAGGACTAGGTGGGTTTTTTGTTTTGTTTTGTTTTACTTGAAGCACCAATTTTTTATTTAACTTTTTTCAATGAAAAAAAAAATGCTTGAAAAGTCAACTCACCTATTCTGGTGTTATTTTCACTATTCCCTTACAACTTTCAATAGGACAGAAAATAACGCTGAATGTATGTGGTTAATATAGTCTTCCTATCACTTAACTTTTATAGAGCACTTCTTGGCTGCATTGCACATAATTCTTTTTGATTCCTTTCATCAGTAGGAATCCTACACAACATCCAACAACCTTAATTCTTAGAGGAAAAACAATAACTTACTAACAAAGAAACTTCTATCACCAAAACATAAGTCCATATAATATGATATTTTATTATGCAAACTAGTCAAGTGTAAAATGTTATTTTAAAGATGCATCCTTGATATCTGGCACACAGAACTCTACTGTCTCTCTACTGGAAATTTCATACAGCTAACTGTTGCCACCATATGAAATGAACTTGTTTGTAAGAAGCAATATACGTATACATACATACATACATACATACATATATATATATTTAAAATTCTAAAAATTTTAAAAACTGGAGGTTCACTCCTGGGTAAATTCATGTCTGGAGAATCACAAACCATGAGACCACCAGGAGATAAAAACTATAACAAGTTTATTTACAATTAAAACACCTAGCTTTCGCCGGCCTCCTGCCGGCTTCGTCAGGGTGGCTAACCATCAGTGGGTGGCTGTTTTTATGGGAGTGGTGCCTTTTGCACCCGGCTCCTCGATCTCGTGACCGGGCCCAGATAGTCCTCCTGTTTTGCATTCTTGATTGTTCTTTTGCGAGTTGTTGCGTTCCTGGTTCTCTCTTTCCCACCTCC